CCGGCCTGAATGTCCGAGTTAAAGACAGTTTTTATGTTTAACGTTATTATTTATAGATAACATAAAAAATGTCTTTAATAAATAAATTGTCGGACCTTGTCCATTTCTTAATATATGACGTCATTTGTTTACATTTGATACGCCAGAGCAGTTATGAATGTACGAGATTCATGGAAGATTGAAGTTTATAAGCAGTTTATTCGACCTTGTCTACCGAAAAGGTTCTTTGTGGCCCAGAGGTAAGGCACGTCAGCGTAAATGACGGTTCCGTATAGGATGCAGGTTCGAATCCTGTCAAAGAACGAATATTTTCTATGAAAATTTCTAGGACATTCAGGCCGGTAAATGTTATTTAATACTGTTTATCATAAACAGAGCATTTGTATAAATACTTGTATCTATAAATAAAAACGTTAAACATAAAAAATGTCTTTAATAAATAAATTGTCGGACTTTGTCCATTTATATATATATATATATATATATATATATATAATGTGTGTCCGTGTCCTGGACAATTATAATTCCCACTGTGTTACAGTTCTTGCTGGAGGGTCTCTGAAACAATGTGGTTTGATCGACGCCTTATTAGCGAAACTGTTCAATAATTGTAATAATATGAAGTCACAAATCTCTATGACAGACACTTGAGTTTCAGGGCTTTTTTCTAGCTAAAGTGCTTACTCACTTCTTACAAACTGTCATTATTTGAGGCAAACATAGGAAGATCAATAAAAGATGTTGCCGTTAGCACCGCTGTTACTGAACCTGCTGCAAATACGACATAGTGGTGTCCACTTGGTGTTATTTCAGGCTGACCCTTCAACACTCTATTTCCTATTTGGTTATCAGCTTTGGCTTATTCGAGAATTATGACCCCAAAACTGTTCCCTGAATATCTCTAGTATTTCTAGGAAATATTTTGGCAAAAGGTTTCTCGATCACTCAGAATTAGGTCAAGAGTGCGAGAATCAACATCAAAAACTGGCTCCGCTGAAAACCTCCCAAAATGTTCTACATCGCACGTCTCAAAATCTGTACGCCGCAACGTGGTAATTAGATTAAAAGTCCCACGAGCAACGCATCTGACGGATGCAGGGTACTTAACGAAATTATAAGTTATTATTCATCGAATGAAAGCAACAATGCCATCGGTCAGAGAAGATAAGAACTGCAACAAAGAGATTATATATATATATATATATATATATATGTGTGTGTGTTTGTGTGTGTGTGTGTGTGTGTGTGTGTGTGTGTGTGAGTTTGTGTGTGTGTGTGTGTGTGTGTGTGTGTGTGTGTGTGTGTGTGTGTGTGTGGAGTGGGGGTTGCTGAAATGTGTTTGGCTACATTTCAAAGAATTTCTGCTATAATTCTGATTTATTGAATTTGTTCTAACCGGGAATTATCCATTATCAGCAGCGTCTGTCTTTGTGTTTGTCTTTTCTGGTTTCCGTGTGTTCCTTGCAAATTCCACGACTACAAAATCCCTGGAAAGATTTCTGCATAGTTTATTTTAACAAATTTGAAATAATACAAATAACCATCGTAAATACAAAAGTAGGCCATTAGGTAAAGTAAGAAGATGCATATAAAACAATTACGAATTTAAAAGTTCTTTTTTTTTTTTTACATTTCCATGAGGACGATTTTAACAGAATTATATCGTTATCGCCTTCTCTATCTTCCCTTTTTTTCTTTCCTTTTTTCTTGCTTTCTTTCTTTCTATCTGTTCCTTTGAACATTATGTATATTTCTCTCATGACTAAAAACAAACAATGTCTATAATATATCATTTTTTTTGTCTCCTTCGCAATCAAATCGAAAGATTTCATTGTTTATCTGAAGTAATGACAGGGTTTAAAGCCCGTATTAATAAACTTATTAACTAACGGAGAGGAGAATAAAATTTTAATATAAATAGTAAACCGCTATAACATATTCACTGAATACATATACACATCAAGTGCTCCAGACCAGCACTAAGCTTTAGCTGAGCGCCGTGCTTCGGCAATGTTTCGGACCATTAAGCTCAGTACCTCTCCACACGGTGGACCCGCCACTGCTAGATGATGTTACATTGCAACCGGTCTATGTTAGTTGGATGCGACTCGCTAAGAATAAATAATCGACATATACTTTTACTCTTTATAACAAAGAGAAACAGATCTCGGAGGCTCATGATTCGTTAGAAAGCTTCATCATTTCTGTTAATGATTCTTCCATTGTCAGAAAGAAATTATATCTTAACAACAGGATTTATTTCTAATTTTAAATGCCATGTCTATTTTTTTACTCTCTAGTAATAGTCGCAATATTATTGATCGATTTTCCTCAATTCTATTGAAGTATTATGATTTTAGTATATTTTTCAGTCTGAGAGAAATGTATAACATTCATAACCAGTAAATAGCACCTATGATATATTGTTGTGGATTCCGGGATGAAATCCGGTACCGATAAATAACAAAAGCCAAGAAGAATTATAGGAAAATAAATGTATTAATATAATAATACAAACTGGTAATGCATGTTAGTAGTTCCAGGAATGTAGGTTGGTAGCAAAATATATATACAGTCTTTGGTATCGACGTATCATTGTATAACTTCTTACTGAGTCTACGCGCATGCTCACTGTGACTCTTGCTCGTCACGTTCGTTCTGGTTCGTCGCTCTTTCTCGTTCTTCGCTTTCGTTCGCTCCCCGGGTATTCACTAGCAGTAGTATATGTATACCCTGGGTGAGTCCATTTGTGTAAAAAGGGGAGAACCCCTCAACATATATATTTATTAAGTGCAGTTTAATAGAACTACAAATAAGGACATGTCTTGTCGACAAGTTTAGAATAAACGAATGAATTCCCCACACGCCATTAAACTTCTTTCTCAATAAGGCACAATCATGAGGGGTGGCCATATACTCAATACGAACCTGACACAAAACTAAACTCGACTAATGTTCCCCTGTATACTCCAGTATAAATATTCACCAATGATTAAGTATAGTATAAAGTACCAATGATCAGGCATAGACTAAAGTACGAAAGCAACAAAAGTTTACCATAAGCAAAAAATAAAAAAAAATCAAATAATGTTTGACCCTAGATTTAAGCATAAAACCAACCAATATTTACCTGCAGACTTAAGTCTAAATCTTACCAATATTTACCTGCAGACTTAAGTCTAAATCCTACCAATATTTACCTGTAATCTCTCCAGAAAACTTAAACAATATTTAGGTATAGACTCAGGTATAAAATCGTTTAATGTTTCCTATAGACTTAAGCAAAAAAGCGATCGTTGTTTACTCATAGATTTAAGTATAAAACAAACAAATACTTACCCACAAACTCAAATATAAATACTGCGAATGTTTACATGTAGTCTTAAGTTGTTTACCTGTAATCTTTCTACACTCCCGACGAGTATTTAGATACAGACTCAAGTATAAAATCGACTAATATTTCTCTATATACTCCAGTATATTATCGACTAATTTTTATATTGAGACACAAGTTTAGATCTGTATAATATTTAGTCATAGAATCGAATAAAAATTATTTCAACGTAAGATAAACCGTCATAATTTTATCATTTGCAAAATTAATTATTTCATGCCAATCCAAAATAGGAAAGGGTAAGGAATAGTTCTGTTGCTTAAAATACAATTTGGCGACAATTTGCACGTTTGATTTGAAATCTGTATTGTAATTCATAGCTTTTCCGAATTCTGAACGATAGCGCAAAGCTCAATGCTCAGCCACTAGACGACGAGTTTTGTAGAGTAAGAGATCTGAACGACTTGTCATTTCAATGAGAAAGTTTATATATTAACAGTGCGGAATACAACATTTATTGACGTTCATATACAATGTTTTCTTATTAATTCACGAAAATAGAATAAAGGGCAAGAAAAACCTTAATTTACGTTCGTCTACATCGGAATTATTAAATATCGAACCGAACGTTTGTTGATATAAAAAACCTAAAACACTTTGTGACTTACCATTTTCCTTTCTTGCGTATCAAAGCAGAAACTTATAAAAGGAGAATGTATTGATTAAACAATAAATTTTACAATATGTGACCCACTGTGGCGAGAGATCTTATTGTGCTTCTGAAATTATTCTATTTCAAACTGCAAGTTGGAAATCCCTAGAGTAACTAGATAATAAATTATTTACTTTCACAGTTATGTTTAGAAAAAATGATGTTTCGTCAGGATTAAGATATGCCAATTTTTTTTCTGTTTTTTCTTTTTTTTTTTTAATTATTATTGAAAATAAATACGTTATAAATTATTTAACTTCATCTAAACTAACGTAAAAAAAAAAGAAAAATTCTTTCATCGACATCTCGGCTTGATCTATGATTTCGCTTTTTATTTTAATATCATGTCCCTTCGAGAGACAGACGATACCAACTCTCCAGAGACCAAGCTTATTATCTCTGTGTTGCCCGGGCTTCTTGGAATATATAATGGAATGGCTTTCCGTTGCTATTTTTATAATAAGCTGACTCTCAAAAGAAATATTAACGTCGGAATTTCACGATGTGTAATTACCATCTAGTTCCTTTATAGTCGGGCAGTTTCCTCATCATGATTGTTATACTCACAACATTTCGGTAGTTGTAGCCTACAGTATTTGTCAAGAACCTGCCATACTTGGCAACATACTTAAAACGAATAAACTATTCAATACAGGAGTTTTGTTATTTTGATAGTATCTTTTGTATAATCTGCATGCACAGCTGTGACAAGATACTGAGAGATTATTTAAGCAGTCTGTACTGCATTCCAGGCGAATCTACTAATAGAAAACAGCGTTCTTGATTTCAGTCCTGGGGTAAATATACTGATGAAGGGAATGTGCACATATCATAGGTATTCATGATTATGGAAAGAATGATCTTGATTCAAAACATCAACATTCTCGTCAATGTGGTGTAAGACATAGAACGCATGATAAACCATTCCAAAGCTGAAATTTGAATGAAACATTGATGACTATCTTTCTTTTTCTTCCTCTTATTTTTCCTTCTTTCTTTTTCTTCCTCTTCTTTTTTCTTTCTTTCTATTTTTTCCTCTTATTTTTCTTTCTTTCTTTTTCTTCCTCTTCTTTTTTCTTTCTTTCTTTTTCTTCCTCTTCTTTTTTCTTTCTTTCTATTTTTTCCTCTTATTTTTCTTTCTTTTTCTTCCTCTTCTTTTTTCTTTCTTTCTTTTTCTTCCTCTTCTTTTTTCTTTCTTTCTATTTCATCCTCTTATTTTTCTTTCTTTCTTTTTCTTCCTCTTCTTTTTTCTTTCTTCATTTTTCTTCCTCTTCTTTTTTTTTCTTTCTATTTCATCCGCTTATTTTTCTTTCTTTCATTTTCTTCCTCTTATTTTTCTTTCTTTCTTTTCTTCCTCTTCTTTTTCTTTCTTTCTTTCTTTTTCTTCCTCTTATTTTTCTTTCTTTCTTTTACTCCCTCTTATTTTCTTTACTTCTTTCTTTCAACCTTCTTTCTTTCTTTTCTTTCTTTCTTTTTCTTCCTTTTATTTTTTCTTTCTTTCTTTTTCTTCCCCTTCTTTTTCTTTCTTTCTTTTCTTTCTTTCCTTTTCTTCCTTTTATTTTTTCTTTCTTTCCTTTTCTTCCCCTTCTTTTTCTTTCTGTCTATTTCTTCTCTTATTTTTCTTTCTTTCTCTTTCTTCTTCTTATATTTTCTTTCTTTCTTTTTCTTCCTCGTATTTTTCTTTCTTTCATTTTCGTCCTTTTATTTTTTTCTTTCTTTCTTTTTATTTCCTTTTTTCTTTCTTTCTTTTTCTTCCTCTTATTTGTCTTTACGTCTTTCTTTAAACCTTCTTTCTTTCTCCTCCTCATATTTTCTTTCTTTATTGTATCTTCCTTTTTTCTTCCTCTTATTTTTGTTTCTTTCTTTATTTATTTCTTTCTTTCTGCCTTTCTTTCATTCTCTTATTTTGTTTTCCTTTACACCTACACAGAATCCTCAATAATAGTATTATGTGAAAATTAGTAAATTCTAATCACTTCAAAAATCTAGGTGCATTAATCTGTTAAAACCAATTTAGTATAGGTGATAATGAAATTAAATATACAATAATCTGCGCTAGAGATATACTTTTTTTTAATCACTTCACCTCAAGCAAGGCAATAAAGCTACTGGGATGCAGGAGTTTATTGAGTGTTAGAGAATATGTGAAAAAAAACGACGATTAAGGAGAGATGACAAGAAAGAATAAAACTTAAAACAGAAGATACCGATTTTCATTGAAATTAAATATTTAAAAGTCCATGTTGACTGGGAAGAAAGACGTCGGAAGAGAGTTTCACAAGAAATAAGTGCTACTGTAAAATTATGAAACTTAAATTCATAAAGTTTCGATGAAAGTTCATCAGAACAATTATAATGAAAGTATTTATTCCACAAAAAAACACAAAGAGGAAAGCTACTCTACGATGGTAGAGAAAGGACATAAACCACACTGCTAGGTCAGGTGAAATAGCATTGCAGATTCTTTTTGGGCTTTTATTAAGAATCTCTCAATTTATAGGAAAAGCACCAAACCAAATGTGGCAGCAATATCCAAAACGACATTTACATTGTCCAGTAAATTGTTACAAAACCAAAATATTAGCCTGAAGACTCGAGTTATGTTTTCAAATAACCTCATTAGATTGAACATTTTATATGGAGGTCAGGTGTAGCGACAAGGCCGTTCAGAAATATAAAAACTGTTAGCTGTGTACAACTAATTTCTCAGATAACAGTTTTAAAATGGTTCCGAAAAGATGACGCGTATAGGTCTTAACAAGGATCATCTGTCTTCGAAACTCGAGGCTTGCTCTAGTAGAGCAAGTTTATTTTTCAGAAAAACGACGCTGCACTTAATGCGAAATCTGGGGTTTTACCAAAAATTATCTTCATAGCTTTTACCAACTAATGGTTGTTTTATTTTTATATATCGTCTGAAAAAATGTACAGGAATAACTAATTTCCGCAGGTTTCTGCTTAAACACTGACTTCAAAATTTTACTATTCTAAAAATACATCTAAATAAAGTTAATGTTTTTTGTATTGAATGAATGGGAAATATATTCAAACCAGAATTCTAATTATGAATCATCACAAGAGCTACTTTTACAGTATTCGATAAGTGTAAAATGTAACAAATTGTAAAAGATTACAAAAAAAAGCTTAATGGATGAGATTTGTTAGATGATTTGTTAGATCATAATTACTAAAAACATAAAATAGATAAAAGTGTATATAAGACCTTTATGCTATTAGGCAAAACTTATAAGACAAAATGTTTCAAATGTAATGAAATCCATACTAAAACTACGGCACTATACAGGATGTTCATAAAGTTCGTGTGCACTTTAAAAAATGTATAACTTTATTTGTATTTGCGATAGAAATAATCTGTAAAAATGTTATAATATTTAATGTACCTAGTTTTAAGTATAGCTAAAATAACTAATGTGATTTCAGGCATTACTGTAATTCAGTTGGCAAATATTTTCCGTGAACTGCAAAAACGTAATACCCTTTGAATTGCTAATGATGGAAGACATGTAGAAACTTAAATAAAATTTCAATAAAACCATAAAAAATATAGATTTAATTCTTTCTAATTCTTTTTACAAATTATTTCTATCACAAATACAAATAAAGTTATATTTTTTTAAATTGCACACGAAGTTTATGGAGACCCTTTATAACATATTACATCATAGAGCTAAATTGTTCAATATAATTTCCCTTTAAATAAAGGTCTAATTTGATGGCATAATGATTTAGTAATAAGTTGTTGTGGCATGCATCTTTTCCTTATACAATTTGTAAAGCTTCAGTACATTATACATTTTATAAGATCGTGCTATGTCTTTCATTGATAACCACGATGAAAGTGAAACGATAAGATTTTGAATCTAAAGTTAAACTTTAAACTCTTTTCGTCAAAAAATGTTTGCGATTTTGAAAAAAAAATATTATGTCTCATTATTTCTCAAGTACAACTTTCAAATTGAGTGCCATACCACGGCTTCGAAATCGACCTGCCCTACTGCTACATTATGAGAAAGAATAGTACCAAATGACAGAGATCATTTCATTTGAGAACTTTCAGTAATAGCAACAACTAAAATGGATCAAACTCCAGTAGAAAATAATGGCATCTTCTAGATGCTGATATTCTGCACTTATTTAAACAAAAGATTCAGAAGGAACCCCCCTAATACTAGAAAGAGCGATAGCAGTGAACTTGAGAAGCCTATTTGTTAAAATTGTTCTAATAGGAAAACTATACAAAGCATAAAAAGCAATGACTTCTTGTCGATGAATGCCGAATGTTTCCTTATAAGGAAACGGCTAATATTACCTTTATCTTTACCACCTTGTCTTTTTTTTATGTCACTTGTCTGTTTCTTGTGGAAACACGCGTCAAATAGACATTTCATTCTTTGTTCGTATTCTGGTTCGTATTGATATGCAAAAAAAGAAAAAAGAGAAAAAAAAAACGGAACAAATCGACCTTTGTATTTTACACGAAAATGAAATTTGAAATAATTAATTAATGTCGGAAATAGAAACGTGAATCCAGTTTGCTATCTGTTTGATTTAGTATTCATAGATCATTTGCACAGACAGGGGTGTGGATAGGTGGCACTTAGGAAAACTTCTACTGTTTCGGTCATGACAGACCAACGGATAAGCTTTTCCCTAACTTCCGGATAAATGGCATATTTTCCCGAAGGTTTTCATTTTTTATCACTTCATATTATTCTTTTTCGGACAAAGGAGTGGCCACTTTAATCAGCTTAATTTATAGATATTCTCTCCTGAGTATAAAATATTATAAAACTAATTCATCACCCACTTCTATGTGGATGTCTACATCTGGTCGTGTAGGAAACACGTAGTTCCATATTTGCACTGGAAAAGATTGTTTTTCTCTTCACTACCCAATTGAATATACACCTGCCATAAAACATGGAAAGATTTTGAATAGCGTTTTAACCCTAGAACACAAACCATCAATTAAAGTTACACCTCTACTAACCACGGGTATATCCTTTTTAAAATATTAAAAAAATATTAAATATAAAACTTTATTCCAAATATTTTACATGCAGGCACCTCAAACGTTGTACTTTGAGATAACATTAATAGGAATTTAAAAACATATAACTGAGGTAAGAAAATCAGGTACTGAAAATTGTAATTAAATATAGGAACATTTGCGCTGGGTACTATATACCAATGGTTAGTGTTCTAGGGTTGATCTGCTTAGTTATGTGACTCTTGGAAAATCCGGTGTTGTAATTAGTCAGTCTTAAAGCTAATATCGCTATTCAAGTGTTTGAAATTTGAAGTATTTTTATTATTAATCGTAATCTCTATGCTAGGTCTACTGATGCGGTTATCAGAGCTGATTCTTTCAAATAATAGAACGAAGGGTAAGAAAAACCTTAATTTACGCTCCTCTAGCTTTGAATTATTAAATATCGAACCAGGCGTTTATTGATGCAAATACTTAGAACCCTTTGTGAATTGCTATCATCTTTTCCTACGCATCGAAGCAAAAACTTTTAGAGTGGGAATAAACGGAGAATGTATTGATTAAACACTAAAAGTTTACAATATGTGACCTACTCTTGTTGTATGTGCTGATTCTTTCACTCTTCCTATCTTCTAGTGTTATTGTCTTTTATCTTAAATTCATAGAGCGTGAGAACATTATACAAAACAAAATATTATATTAAATAAAATAAGAACCTAGACATGAGCAGTGGAACGAGAACTGTCTACTCCCGTAGAATAAATAAATGTTTCAGTTTAGAATTCTGTATACGTTAGCCACATCGATATACACCTGAGGAAGTTCGGATGGCGCATGGGCCGGCTATTGTGATAACAACAACATGGGGAAAATAATCTGAATATAAGCAGTGTAAATCACATTGCACAACGTAGAGACAGAATAAGGAATTCGATTCAAAAATCCGTGACGTATTGTGTATAGGAAACACTTCTGAAAATGGCCGGAATATACAACGGTCAAAATGTCGTGTTTATGACAACTAAAAGTATAAAAGCATATAACATCTGAACTATTGATACACAATAAGCTTATCTTCAGAATAATTGGTATATTGATGCGGTAAATACGTCAAGGAAGGTCGGACGTGAAGGACGCACCCCAAGTTTAAAGTGCAATTTTTTTTAGATATAATGTCAGTACTTTCCCCTACCTTATCAATATCTGTTGTTGGTGGTTTAGCAATAGGTAGATGATCTTGACAACTTGTGCCTAGATTTTATCATTTTGCCCATACAATAGGGGGAAGCGTATGCTTATTTCCTCTTGGACGTATAAAATACTGACTAGGATATATAACCACTGTCGAGCTACATAAAACAAAATGATACTCCATTTTCTCCCCAATAGTATTTTTACATTCAGTAAAATATCGGCTGAATGTCTAATATATACCTGGAGAGAACATACTTTAAATGTGCCTACCTTTTTTAAAAAATTTACCCATATGATGAAATATACGGAAATTAAAGTATAAAACAAAGAATTACTTAAATGTAAAATAATAAAAACGATAAAAGTTTACTTACATAAATTATTTAAACCCATTTTCAGAATAAGATATGTATCGAGACATATTAGTGCTACTAATGTTTGACTTCATTTATACGACTAGTCTCTTGGTTCCCCTACTCTAATCTGCCATGGGAATATTCTGTATATATACTTTTTTTTTTACTTTTATGATACTTTGTTTATTTACTAACTTAAACAGTGTATATTTTATAAATTTAATTAAGAGATCATACATAAGAATTTAGTTTGCCGTCTGGCATAGATAATATTCCTCTGGGGTTATCATAGGCCTAGGAAAATCCTAAACATCGTCCCCAACGCTGCACAGCAAATTTTCCAGATTTATTTCAGGAAAATAAACTTGACGCCGTCAAACACGTAATATGAGAAAAGGAAT